ACCTAAATTCATAACCCATGAAATCATATACCTAAACTCAATTAAGAAAGTCAATTTTCAATCAAATTAATATTAAAAGATAAAATCGGAAAAAACAACCAATTAAGAAAATTTGCCAAGCAAAATAAAAAAATAGCAATTGAAAGAATGAGATTCAAACATGATATAAAAAAAATTAAAAGAAATGAAATCATCTAAAAAATCAATTTTAAAAATCATCTTAATTAAAAACAATAAGCAATGAAAAGAATATCGACTAAATTTGAGATGTGAAAAAAATTAGAGGATGAAATTGAAAATAATTTTTAAATTGAAATAATTTATTCAAATAAAAAAATTACAACAAAAGAACAAGGACTATCTTATATAAAAACAAATTAAATGGGCATTGTGAAGTTTTTTAGTGGAAAAAAAAGAAGAAAAAAAATACAACTAGTAGGGATTATAATAAACATATCACCTAAAAAGGTAGACACCACCATGACAAATATAAAAACATCAAGGAAGACTATTTTTGGCTCACTTAATAATAACAAAAAAATCAATGTGAAAGTATAAAAAAGCCCATTGAGTCTTGTTTTAATTTTTAATCTAAGGGTACTATGGTAGTTTTAATGTGCTTTGAAAAATGGAATTCTAAAAAAAACCCTTATAAGGCTATTGATTTTTTTTTTTCTTTCAGGGGTAATTAAGTCATTTCACTATGTAAAAAAAATACAAAAAGGTTGCACTTCCCTCGATCAATCTAAGAATGACTAATGAATCTTTTGAAAAGATTTATTTACACTCCAAGACCAGTTCATTGATTTTCTTGGTTTAGGGTAAAGATGTAATTTTATTGTTCTAATCTATAATGAATTATACTTTATCCATAGTATTTTTACCACGGTAATTAGGTCATGCTAATGAACCTTGTGAAAATACTCATTTACCCTTCAAGTTTAGTTAATTGATTTTCTTGATTAAGGGCAAATATGTAATTTTAGTGTTCCAATCCACCGTGAACTATATATGCCTTATCTATTTTAATTTTTTCACTGCAATTAGTTTTTTATTATTTCTAATGACATGAGAAATGGAAAACCTAAAGTGAATACAACCAAGTCAGGTAATGCATTATTGATCCAATTAAGTGTTTGTGATCATTTCTATTGGTACAAAAGTTTGGGAGAAGAAAAGAATATGTAATGCCAAAATTTAATTCTAAACAAGACATTTTAGTTCTTTTATAACCCTAAAAATATCGGTATTCATCCTTTAAAATCTAATGTTTTTTTAACACTATTGGAATAACCTTGTAGCTCCTGCATCTGCATCGACGAAAGCAACACCTAATGCCTCTTGTAGAAAGAACAAGTTCTTCCTAGTAGAGTGGTTTGGTATTGGTAAGTGAAGATTGTAAAATTTTCACTACTAGATTTAACAATTTTAGTAATGAAAATTTCTTTCGACATTTTACACTAACAGTCCATCTGTGATTATTTTTCCATTAGGATCAGGAATGGAAAATGTCTGTTAAGATTATGGATGGAAAATGTCCGTCAAAAAAATACTTATCAGTAATTTTTGGTATATCGGTAAGTCTGTCGTTACTAAATTCACCGATAGCTTTATAGACAAAATATGCGCAATAAAAAAAACACATGCTTCATTCTATCGATAATTTTCTCAACATGATTTAACATATCATCTACTGGAGAATTGTATGTATTGTCATCGTTGAGTTAACAGTTAAAGTGATATTTGTAGTGATGTTTTTCCAATTTTGTAGAATATACCAATAGATTTATTTCGTTTGTATTTGCTAATTTTACGGTAATGTTTTTAACTTTTGACAAGGTTAGATTTATTATTATTATTATTATTATTGGGCAGATGGTTTTACTAAAGAAAAATATTTATTAAGTCTAATTTATTATTATTATTAGTATTTGTATTAAACAATAATGTTAGAAAGCATTAAATAGTCTCATTGGCAACATCATCTCATTGTCATCAAAAGAAAGTATTTTGTTGTCTATATTTTACTGTATAAATATAACTATTAATATTAAATCTTTAGACATGATCCTATAATTAGCTATGTTTATCATAGTTTACCATTCTATAATGATAAGCTGCTCCTCATATATTTATTGGGTCCAACTCTAAGCTAGTGTTTTTTTGTCAGAGCTATGTATATAATTTGCTTGATTTATGTGATGTATATTGAGCTAGAAAAAATAACATCTTATAATATAAGGAGCTAATTAATTTTATTATAAATTTCAAGAGTAGATCTCATTTATTTGTTTATGTTTGTAGCTATTTTGCTCGAGTGTTTCCGGTTAAAAGTGCCTTACAAGAGTGTTTCTCTTCGAGTTAAGCATAAAAAGACAACATTTTAATGATTATAAAAATGACAAAAAAATATATGTGCTGGCTCAAACTTGTTTTGCAATTGACTCAAACTTGTAGAATTAAAAGGTAGATGATTAAAATATAAAACACGGTGAGAATATATAATTAACCCTAGATTTATAACAAATATTATTTTTGTATAAAAATTAATTTTGTTCAATTTTAAATCTCTAGGTTTGAGAAATGACAGAGAAATTTATCAGAAAATAATGGTAGAGAGAGAAAGGTTTCAATTGTCATTATTTTAACAATACAAACAGCTAAAATTGGTGTTAGATGATTTCATTCGACGAGAGGAATTCTATGATGATGGTTTCTTACCTTCATCTTACCTGAAAAAATACATTAAGCTTGAGAGAGAATTCTTTTAGATTGATTTTGTGTTTTTGAACCAATTTATGGGTGTTTTGAGTTGAAAAATTGGTTTATTGAGGTTACTAGGGTGTTTATTTATTTTTTATGTGAAATAGGTTAAAAAACAGACTTTTGAACTTAAAAACACCCCAACCTGATTCTCTTGCCACCTTAAATGGTTGGAATCTAGGTTATTGAGATCTTTAGGGGTTTCTTTGGTTTTTCATGTCAAATAAGTTAAAAAATAAATTTTTGAACCCAAAAACACCAATCTAGTTTTTCTATAGCTCTCATCTTATTGGAATCTAGATTTGTAAACAATACATTATATAGATATGATGCCTATAAAAATTTTCTGAAAAAAAATCTCTATAAAAAAAGAAGAAATTTCATCAAAATTAAAAATGCATCTATGAAAAGAATAAATGAAAACTAAATCTTTAGTATATTGTCTTTTATAAACACCACTATGCATATAAATATAATGTTTATATAGGCTTGCAAGAATATATTTAGGGTTTGGTCTATCTATTTTCTTGTTTGCTTAACAATTGATACAACCTATAAAATCCTTGTAATGGAGTTCTTTATGCTATCTATTTAGCCCTTATAGAGCTCAAAATGGACTTCATTCCTTGATTTGTCTCGGGGGATGGAATGATGTTGTCAATTCCTTTATTACTTTATATAAATTAATACAACATATAAAAAAAGATAGAATGTTAGACTTTTTCAAGCTTTAAAAATTATAGCCCTAAATTATAGAAAACTTACAATCCTTAGACTATATATAATTAAAACTCTAAACTAAAAAGTTTTGATTAAATCTTTTAATATGTTTAATCTAATATTTTATTCAAAAAAATAACTAGTTATCTTTATTTATATTAGTCATGCACTTGAATTTTTATAGAAAAGAAATAATTATTGAATGTTGCATAGCTAATAAAATTTAATTATCGTTAATTAGGATTCATAAATTAAATAAGAAAATAAAATCACTAAGAAAAATAAAGAATTTATTTTAATATTTTCTAGTAATTTGGCCATGCAAACAAACTCAATCCTTATAGAATTCGGCTTATAGAATACTTATGAATGTCAATTATTACACGTCCCATGTCAAATTTGTATGGTTGAGATTCAAACATCGAACACTACGAAAAACGATTCAATGGTATTTTTTTTTTAATTTTTTGAGACTTCAAAACAGCCAAAAACCTCTTCCTTCCTAGAATATTATGCCCACTTGACCACTATCAATGACTTCAATCACAAATAAACTGGAACTGACAGGAAAACTTGTGCCAATTTAGAAGCCTTGCCATAGGTTAAAATTCTTACCTTGGATGCACGGATCATGTCAGATCTGAATCTGAGTCCGAGCAATATATATACGGGATTAAAACGCATTTACCTTGGATCTTCGAATACGTTTTTACATAATCTGCTAGTTGTATACATGTCTATTCTAATAGAATTGGCACCTTGAAAAGGTTTTATTTATCAATTCACCAGGCCAGTTTATCTCTAGTTTCCATAGAAAGAATACTAGTCAAGGTGTCAGAGCCGGAACTTAGCTTCCCGGAAAGATTATGAATAGAAAAACCTACGCGTTCGTATAAGTAAATAAATGGGAGAGTGAATGTGAGAAGGCAAAAGAAACGAGTGAGCAAATCAAGTGAAAAGGTTTTGTATGCATAGAAACGTGCATTTGTCTCCCGCTAAATCCTCCCTTACGCTCGTCAATATCACACGCATTTGCCTTGTTTTGCCTGATACAGACATTCAGTAGCCTACTGAAAACATGTTATATTTTTTCTCTATATACATAAAATTAAGGAAGCATACAACATTGATACTATAATCTGAAAGCAAACTGCTCGTATTTCAAAACCAGATCAAGTGAGAGAGAAGAGAGAGAGGAAGAGATGATTTTGAGAAGATAGACAGGAAGATGCCTCTAGATGTGAAAAATTAATGTTGGCCATGTTATGTGATGCTATCTGTCTTGTCCACTTATGGCCACTTGCTCAACCCTGGCTGTAGCTAACTCCCCACCTCAGTATTGGACCCCATTTCCTTTCTTAACCAAATCATCTGTTACTATCTTAACCTAATCTGTATCCTCACTACCTCATGCTGCTGGCCCATCCCATGAACACCCCATTTTTCCTTTACTTTTTACAACCTTATTCTTTTGGGTGTTGATGATGATGTAACGTTGGTGCTTCTGTATATCCCTGTCATTCAGCTTTCCAAGCATAGAGAAACAAGCAAAAATCAAATGACCCACCACCTGCATCAAGCCTCTCTAGTGAACCAGAACCAGGTCCTGTCCGAGAGGACAGTGGTGTCAATGTCGATGAAGAAAATGGTGGTGATGAAGATGACGTCGATAGTGGTGATAGAGATGTGCATGACATTATTGGCTTAAAAATAAACAAAGCATGCCTTAAACCAGGACTAAATAGCCAGTCATGGACATCCCAATATACTTCTACTCTTAGTTTATGAAGTTTAATAGACTCATTACCTCTAAATTTCCATTGGAGATGCTTCATATGAATGACTAAGTCTCTATCGATCCTTATTTCCATTTCCGGGTCATCCCCATTAATAGAGTTCCCATTACTAAGATTGCCACTGTAATTACATCTATTCTTGCACTCGATTGAGATCTCATGAAACCTTCCTTTCTCATGGAACTTGATTCTTGTAGCGAACTTCTTTTTGCCAAATATGTGTTCCTTTCTTGAAACCAAAATGGGATCAATAAGACCAGGCCTGCACCCAGTTTTCCTATAAGCATCTTTCTTTAGATCACCAAGAAGAAGCACAACCTCTTCATCGCAAACAACAACAACATAGTACTCAGAATTAGGCTCAGTTTCACCATTGAATCTTGCAGCCTTGAGGTCCCAGAAGATATCCACAGCTTTACCCTCCACTACAAACCGTTTGGAGCCTTGTTTCCTCCAAAAATACAAAGGCTTCAGCTCCACTTTGCAGGTGTAGTGGCTCTCTCCCTCAGGACCTTCAAGCGATACTGATAGACCATGGAGCAACAGATTCTTGCACCATCTTATTATGATCAAACGACACTGATCAGCAATCTTTGTACGATAAACAGACACGAAAACACTCTGCCCTGACCTGGTTACTGTGGCAGGATCATCAGTTACCTTCTCACCGGATGTAAAGCAAGCAGGGATCCTTACTGGATGGTCTAACATTGTAATTAACTTCAACATTTACTCTATTTCAATGGAAATACCTGGTAGTGTAGCCTAGTATAAAGCAGAACTGAACAACAAATAAAAGTACGAAAACAAGATGAGAATGTGTCATAAGCTGGATAAAAACTGAACTTGCTTGCATAATTAGAGAGAGAGAGAGAGAGAGAGAGATCTTACTGGTTACATGTACTGTATCAAGTCATAAATAGTGCCAGAGTTTTTCTTGGCAGCATTAATGGAAATAAAGAAATACTGAGTGAACTGTGAAAGTGAGTGAAGGAGAACACCTCTTTTTATATTCAATCATTCAATTATGCTTTAACTTCTCTTACTTGGATTTTGTATTTTGTAAACTTGTTTTGTTTCCTTTGTTTTCATGACCTTTTTCTTTCTTTTTTTCTTCTTCTTTTCTTTTCAGCAAGACAACTTTAATGAATCCAAGGTGTTTTTGCTTATTCTACACACACACAAACTTAAAATACGCTTTCCCATGCATGGTTAAAAAAAGAGAAGGCCACTATCACCAGATTGGGAGTGTAGATTTCTACGTACGTTGGTAGAATCCTTGGAAGCATGACAGCACATGAGATAAGAGGAGTAAAAGATATGACCACTCAAAACTTTAAAAAATTGAATCATCGTGAAGTTGGCTTTCCAATGTGGGTCTTACAGGATTTTTTTATCATTTGATAAAAAATTTAATATAGTTTGATTTGTGGGTGGTCAAGTTTCAGCACTTTCATGGTGTGGGAGAGGAATCTATAAACAGTCGAAAAGGCCTGTGAAATCTACGGTTGTCATTTTGGGTCTTAGGACAGAGAGGTTTTGCAGTCTTCACGAGCCAGCAAGCCTGGTATTTGCAGTTTGACAGAGATGGAAAAGAAAATTAAAAAGAACATAGTAAACATGTCTCTTATACAAGCATATGTCTAGCTTACTTTAATGGTGTTTGTACAATATAATAAATACAATAGACTAATATAACAGATAATTGGCCTATGACTATGCTGGATTAGATTGCTTCAATACACCCAACCCATGTAAGTTGAATGTGCCACATTCAACCTGGATGACAGAAGCATAAACCATGACGGGAAAAGAGGCATGGTGAATATATCTGCAATCTAACCATTGGAGGCTATAAATTGAACTTCAAGATCTAATAATTGGTGAATATATCGTCAGTTCGTCAATCTTATTGCCACTCATTTCTCAAAAACTATCGACACATTGCGTTATAATTCAAGGGGAGAGTGCATGTCCATTAATTTTTAAGAACTTCTTTGAGGGAAGAAAAAAAAGGTACTTCATGACAAATCTTATCCTTACCCTCCCCAATAAAATGATATTACTAAAAGAAAAAAAATCATCATATTTTGGAATTTTCTTGTGTATTGTTAATTGACTCATATGTTCTTGCTTCTTTATTGGTTGAGGTTATACAAGCTATTGTATATCTTATTAATCATTAAAATTCCTCAATCTTAGACAACACATCCTCATTCTTTAAATTATATGGAAAATCCCTATATTAAGCCTTAATGTATATGTTTGGGTGTGGTTATTACATGTATCTTCCTTCTCATGGACGAACTAAGTTTCTCTTTAAGGAACACGATGTGTTGTCCCAGTACATGCCTTAGGTAAAAAAAGGGTTTTGTATTATGATCCTAAGAAAAGAAAATATGTGCTTCTCGTAATGTTGTGTTTAATGAGAATGTGTTTTCCTAACAACACCATGCTCCTTCTGCTTTTTCCTTCTTTTTATATCCTATTATATTTGAATCACTTAAGGCCATTCCCGGACATTTTAAACCTAAATTAATTTGTTAATTAACAATGATATTATATGATTGATTACTCTTCTATCGAGGAACCCTCTTCATCCCTAATTCTAGTTCTTATTCATCATTCTTCTATCAGATATGTCCTCTAGATTGATATGTATATTCTCCCTCTTCTTTCTATGTCTTTTAAGGCATTTTCCACATCTTCAATTCTTGTAAATATATAGTAAGACACCTCTGTTAGCATGAGGCTAAGGATGAAAGACTAGAAGCTCTTGCTGAAATTATATTTAGGATCTTACACCATGCATGTCTCTTTTATGTTAAACACATTAATGCTGCATTTGTTTTGCACTTTTTTTTTGTGTTTGTGGTGCAAAAAATATAAAAAGGGATTTGATAATTGTAAAAATTATGTTTTATACTGTAATACTCACTTAAACATTGAGTTTGAAACATAATTTTTATAACACAGTTTTTATATGTTTTTTTAACTAAATTTTATAAAATATTATTTATTTTTGCGTTTCAAAAGCGATTTTGAAAAAATTTAAATTTTATTTTATTTTTTTATTTCAAATTAATATTTTTTTAGTGTTTTTAGATCATTTGAATTTGCTAATATCAAAAAGAATTTTTTAAAATAAAAATACATTATTTTAATGCATTTTCAAGAAAAAATACTTTAAAAAATAACCACAATCACACAACTATCAAATATTTTATACATGTTTTTAGCTGTATATAAACTTAAATCATAATTTTTATCAAACAAGTATCTAAATCCAACTAACCTTAATTAACCATATTTTTTAAAAAATTATTTTTTTAAACTACAATCATAAAATCTATTAAAAAAACAAATATACTTTAAATATAAGTAAGTGTACAAAGTTAAATGTAGACCTAATGGTTTTCTAGATATAAACAAAGCTTGTTCAATAACTTTTATAAATCATTAAAAGTATGAAGTAGACTACCAAAAGATATTTTCTTTGGTCTTTGGAAGGAGCAACATACATATAATCTTAAATATTATTGCTTCTTATAACTAGAGTTTATATTAAATAAATGTTAAGAATGATTTTCTTCATAATGATTAAGATGAAACTAATTTTATAACTTTACCTCTTGTATATCGCAAGCTGACTCTACATATGCTTGTTTAGTGTATGTTTATTTTAAAGGTAGAAGTTGTGATTTGGGTGTAGGACCCACTACAAAAGCTATAAAAAACAAAAAATATTAGCTTTTGTAGTTAAATTTTATGCATAATTAGATTGTATCCATTCACAGCCTAATCATAAAAGTTAAAACAAACACTTTCTAAAGGCTTGGGAGTGCTTTTCAAAAGCGATTCTAAAAAAAATTAAAATTTTATTTTTTTTACTTTGAATTAATATGTTTTTGATATTTTCAAATCATTTTAATGTGTTGATTTCAAAAATAATTTTTTTAAAATAAAAAATATTATTGGCATAATTTTCTAAATAAAAAACACTTTAACAAGCAACCGTAACCACACTCTCAAACACTCTATTAAAAAAATCTCTATATGGATGCAAACAAGGCCTATATGTATTGGTTTGATAAATTTTAAAGCATACTTTTATTGTTTGAATCACTATCTCTAACTTTTATGACTTAATTACCTACTAAATAATCATGATAGATTTTAATTATAGGTAATGATGTCTTCTAAATTCACTATTTAAAGATAGATTTTGGTCCATGATCTCTTACTTTAAATATTTTTGTCGATCAATATAAATATCTTAAAGATCTTATTGATCTTGCCCATGTTCAAGATTTTGTCATATTTGATACTAAGTTAAAAGTTAAATTTTATTTTGATGGTAATGTATTTTCAACAATCCAACTTATATTTTAAAAAATTAGTGAGAATTTTAATAACTTAACTATTACTTGACTTGATATAATACATGCAGTTCATCTTTAATTTGGTGGCTATAATTTTGTTCTTGTATCTCTTTTTTTTTGAAAAAACATCTCTTTTACTTATAGTCCCATCTAAGAATATTTTTATTTCTTATTCTAAGAATATTCTACACCATTTAAGAGTATCTTTATTATATTTTTTTTGTTTTTTAATTCTTACTTGGTTATTATCATGCCTACTAAACCTTTTTTATTCTTAGTCTTTGGTTTTCTCTTCCCTATTTTCTATTTTTTTAATTCTTTTAAGTTTATGAATTTTAAGAAATTGTTAGCATGAATACAACAAATAAAATGGTAAAAAATTAGTCAAATTAGGTTAAAAATGCATATTTTTGAAACCTTTTATATTGTTTAAAAATGTATTCCGAAACAGGGGAATAAAAACAAGTTATGACAAATATCACCAAACCATTTTTTTATCTAATAACAAATTAGCACTTGAGACTAGGAGCAAGTAAAAAGATTAAAAATTTAATTAAATTTAGAAAATTAAAAAAATTAATTAAAAAACTGAACCGTTAAAAAATGGATTAAAATTAAAAAAAAACTAATCGATTTGGTTTGATTTTAAAAACCTAAAATCTAAAAAATCAAACCAAATTGAACCTAAATCTAAAAAACCAGAAAAAACCAAGTAAAAAAAATCAAAATAAAAAATCAAGCTAAATAAAAAACTGAGCTAAACAGAATTAAAACAAAGTTAAACTGAAAAATTAAACCAAACTGATTTAAATAATTTTTTTTAAACCAAATCAAAACAAATTAAAATATTTGAACTAATTTCAATTTTTTTAAAAAAATTAAATTAATTATTTTTTAATAAAAGTCAAATCAAACAAAAAATAACCCATCCTTTACATGACACCTATCACGGATAAACTATTTAAATAACAATGATTGAATGACTTCAGTCGTGAGGCGCTACTCCACCTCTTAATATTAAAACATAAACATATAAATTAAGAGATTAAAAAAAGATATAAACATATAAATTAAAAAATAATTAAATTAAGGGATTAAAATAAAAAAAATGCAATAAGTAAATTACAAAAATAATATGTTCTACTTTTTCTTTAATTAGATTATAAAAAGGATATCTGAGTGCATGAATTCATTTTGGTCTTTCAAGTCCTTTCCTTTTTTTAACAAAACTTAATTAATTACGATATAAACACATAATAATGGAGTTTCAACTTTCATCTCTACAAAAGGGTCTCAGGAGTTTGTATAGCTCTACTTTCTTTTTTCTCCTGTAAGAGTTTGGAAAATCTTCAATCAAACACTTAAATAGAAAAATAATAAAATTTATAAACGAAATTTGCAGTTTGATTACCATCAAGCCAAACCAACCTTCCATTTCCATGTACTAACAGCAAACATCGAAGCAGACCCAGAATCACATACTAAATTCCGGACCACCTGCAACCAGCAAACAGCCACTCTCGCCTCCGTCCCGGCCCGCCACCATCCGACAACCACCTCCGCAGAGCAGTCGACACAGAAATCTACACTCTTAAGACTGAAACCCAACCTGAAAGGTGGGGGGGAAGATGAGAAGGGAAGGAAGCGAGAACCCTCAGGGGAGTCGCCAAATCTGGTTTGAGCAGAAAAAGAACGAGTAGATCTACAAAGGGAGACAAAGGAAATTGCTGTGAGAACCCTCATTTTTGGTCTATCTCTATCCTCCTCCTTGTCTCAATTTGTTGGCATCAAAGAAGTTATTGTCAAAGGAACTTGTTATATTTTGAAAATTCATCTCCCAACACTCACTAGACAACTACTAGTTGAATTGCAGTCTTGGGCTTAGTAAGGTTTTCTCCGTCAATACTGGCGTTACTTGATGTCTTCGCATTTTCATATTATTCTGATTATACTGCTGCAACATGTTCTCAACTTTCTTTGTTCTGAGTGTTTTCCTTAGTAGCATAATCTGCTTAATTATTTATTTATTTGTCTGAGATGAAGCATTGTTCACACTTGTAGTGATGGTGGGCTTGGAAAACGTTGATTTGAAAGCTATTAAGTTGGAGAAAGGATATGTTGGGGAAGGAGTGCAAGAGGATAACCGCCTTAAGGCCCAACAAGCGGAGGTTCGGAAGTCTGGCAGTCAATCTAAAAGAAAAGAATCTGAAGAAACTAGAAGCTTGAATGCCTTAAGTATTGGCCAGAGTAATTCAATTGTATTGGAGCATGGGCAGCCTCCAGTGGATGACAGTGGCATTTCTTTTGCATCTACAATATGTCCAGCACCACTTTGTCGTCAATTTTGGAAAGCTGGGAATTATGATGACGGGCTCAATTCCGGGACCACACTTCAAAGTATGTAGCTATCAATTCTTTCATCTTAATTTCATGACTGTCACTTATTATTGAAAATCTCTACTTTGTTGTGCAATCTATCATATATGTTGTGGTGTTGCTTTACTCCTTGTTTTGTCTTATAAGTTGGATGGTAGAATCTTTTGCAATTCGCGGAAGTATCTCTTTTCAGTGTGTGTTTGTACTCGATAAGCCCTTCTCCAAGTTGCTCTTTTTAATTTTCTTTATGGTATAACAGATGGCAAGAGTCATCTCCATGTCCACCCCATGTTTCTTCATTCAAATGCCACTTCTCATAAGTGGGCTTTTGGTGGTATGTCCAGCTAATACAGTATTCTATTCCACCTGTACTTTGGTGATGATGAATTTAAGAGTAGAGTTTGCATCTAACTACCTTTTCTTGCTTGCAGCCATAGCAGAACTGATTGACAATGCAGTTGATGAGGTAAGTAGCCAGTTTTCTTTTGCTTTTTTAACTGGCTTATACAAGTTTGATTATCATGTAGTCTATTGTTGAAAGTACAAAATAATGTGGTGTGGTGTTTTTGAGATCATTGTTAGTCGGCCTATAAGCCTATACATGTCATGTTGTCACACTTGTATGTTCTTGCTTAGATGTTCTCTTGACTGGACAGAGCAGTGTCTGAAACCCAGACAAGATGTGCATATCAGGGAACTGGTTGGGACACCTGTCCAGGTGATCTGCTTAACCTGGAGGTCGTAATTTTTTTTTTTGGTTGATGTTAATAGCAGGTTGTACAATTTTTCATTTCTAATGATTTTCCCAAAATGTGCAAGAGATTACTGCCTGCTTTAACACACCCACACATGTATGTGCATGTGCACGTGTGCATCCCCAAAAATAAGCAATAAGAAAAGTGAATAACTTCTCAGTATACATTTGAATGCTTAAACCACTATTTATAGTAGCAAGCTGAATCTAAAGTTTATGAAAATCTTATCACATCAATCATAATTTTTTCTAAAATAATTTACTTAAAACTACTAATATAAAAGGAAAAGGCCACATATTAATTTAATCTCATTGTATGTTCATAGGCTAAATAATTCCACTTTTATTAGGTGGATGTGTATGAATTTTATTTTTAATTCATTAATTAAACTTATACATGTGAATGATATCACGATAACAATGTAGTTTACCTATTGACTTTGTCCATGTTCTGATTCAATGTGATGCTTGCTTCTTGAAACATTTTGGATGATGTTATGACAGCACAGGTCTTGATACCTGTGCTCCTTTGTGCTTTCTTCTTTGGAAAAAAGCATGTGGGTCTGTTATGTGCTAATCCTAAGGCAAATCAGCTTTTATTTCACTAATAGCCTTTCTTATGTCTATTGCTATCAAATACATGCGATGGTCACCCTTATGTGTTAGGATCTCTTCACCATTTATTTCTGTTATCATATGGTGACATCTTCAAGCCGTGAATTTCACTTTTCATATCTTATTTTTTTTTCACTTGATAGATCCAAAATGGGGCCACTTTTGTAATTGTAGATAAAACCTTAAATCCAAGAGATCAAAGTCCAGCATTGTTAATTCAAGGTGTGTTTATCTTGTCAAACATAAAGACTTGTTGTCAATATTGTTTTGTAGTCTTTGTTGATGAAATATTTATCTTGAAAAAAAAAACTGAATACTTCCTGATTATGGTCTTTGCATGTTGGTACTATATGACTAGATAATGGTGGTGGAATGGATCCTGAAGCAATCCGGCGATGCATGAGTTTTGGATTTTCCGATAAAAAGTCCAAAGCAGCAATTGGACAATGTACAGAACTTGTTTGTGCTTTTACTGAATTCTATGATTATTTCCTTCCATATTTATTGCTTGACTGTGGTCCTTTCAGATGGTAATGGCTTCAAGACCAGCACCATGAGACTTGGGGCAGATGTTATTGTCTTCAGCTGCCACTTGGGTGATAGGTTTGATTATGATTCTAAAACTTTCACTGACTTGTTCATCTGAATTTAAATGTTTACAATTCTTATACAAACCATGCACAAGTGAAGTGATAGCCACTGCTGGCTAGTTATATATTTTCAAATATGCGTGCACAAATATTTGATGATTTCCTAGTTCATTTATTAATCTTCAACATATTTCTTATCTCTGCCATCACAATTGTTTCTTCCCCATCTTTGATGGTGAAACTGTATAGATGACAGTAACAGGTGAGCCAAATTACGTGTGATTTAACTGCATACATAAAGAACAGATATCAGGTCAAAAAAGAAAAAGATAAAGACAAAGAACAATCTCAGGTCGAAAAGAAAAAAGAAAAGAAAAAGAATAAACCTTGCTCCTTTTGTTTTCTAATATTGTGTAATATGTAATTACCCATTCAAGCTTGTTTTCTTATTAGTTTATATAATGAGCAGGGTAATGACACAAAGCATTGGTCTCCTCTCTTATACATTTTTGGCACAAACAGGGCACGACAGAATAGTGGTGCCAATGGTGAGTTTCACTTCCCCACTTAATTATGTTAGCTGAATTTCCTTCTGATTTTCTTCAATTTTGGGAATTGTTTTTTGGAAAGTTAATAATTGCCATTTTTTAGACAGCATTTTGTTGCTTTTTATAGCATGTATATGTAGTGTACTGCACACATGCCACAACAGCTTGAGTTGAGGTCCTGCTTATTAGCCTTTTGGATGGTATCCTGATTTGATAATGCAACATCACGAAGGATATTTTCATCCAAAGGAATGACAAGATCCCAAAAAAATTGTGGGATTTAAAGGGATGAGGTTATATGATCCCAAATATTAGGCTCTTGGGTCAGACCTCAGCAGATGCTAGTGAACCACAGGTCTTAAATCCTGTTATTATATAGCTGACTTGGCTGTTGACCTTTTGGTTTCCAAGACGTGGCAAACTGCTGCTTCTATGTTTTATCCCTGCTTTCCATTTTTGTTTACAAGTTTGTATTTCTGGAGTCTATTTTAAGAACTTGTTTCAATATGAAGGTGGATTATGAGCTTAACACGATTACTGGTAATATGGAAATTTCACATCGGTATGATAAAGAATACTTTATGTCTAACCTTTCCATGCTGTTGCAATGGTCTCCCTATTCAACAGAAGCTGAGCTGCTGAAACAAGTAAATTCCTATCCTATATCTTTTCCTCTACTTGCCATCATTCATTGCATTTTATGTTGCTCCTTCATGTGTATAGATTTGTTTTACAAGTTGATGTAGCTAATTACACAATAGTCTTTCTTTAAGTTTAGTAATGATATCCTGATGGTTCATTTTACTCCTATACAACTTCTGAGCTATTTAACACAGAGGTACATGTGTACACGCATGTAAAAATCTAACTGCTATTTTTGCCCCAAGATGACCTTCCCTTCTTTTTAAAGTTGGGTTAAAAATCAAATGGTACGAAAGTGGATATATCTTGAAGTGTTTGTTTGAGTGATTGTTCCATTTTCAATAGATACCACACATAAATTGAGAAAGAATGTGACCTAGGGCAATAGAATAGAGAAAATTCTCATGGCTGTTCAATGTCGAGCTGGGGGTGTTATGAGTAGGTCGGACATATTTTCTGCCACAATTTTGCTGCACTTGGAAGCTGAAATTTTTGTTTAGTTGTTGGAATGAGATTTGGATGGTAGTAGTATTAGAACCACAAGCACCAAGCTGCACCTTGAAATCTTTTCAAAAAGTTCAATTAATCTTTGTAGTCATAATAAGTGAAACACTCTAAATGGTACAAAACTTCCAGATACACCATGATTCTTGATAAAAGCTAGAATTTGGAAATGCTTTGTTGATACTGTCTTTCTCCCTTGCAAGCTCATTTCTTAAAATAACTCCAATTTGATTTGCAGTTTGATGACATTGGATCACATGGCACAAAAGTTGTTATCTATAATTTGTGGTTCAGTGATGATGGGAATGTAGAGCTAGACTTTGATACAGATCCCGAGGTTGGAGCTTTTTTCAGCCTCTTTGTAGTTGTTTTCTCCTCTAAACTTCATTATATACTATGATCACTCCCAGTTAGCTGCTTTGTTGTGGCATGGTTGCAGGATATTCGTATTGGTGGGGATGTAAAAAAAGTACAGGCAAATCCTGCTTGGAGGACAGTCAATGAACAACATATTGCCAATCGATTACATTATTCACTCCGTGTAAGTTCTTTTTTATTTTTACCTGTCTCTTCATGCAAGTTTATAGTCGAGGTAATATTTCATAGACAGTGCCTCCTTTTTTGTGATGAGCCTCTCCACCTAAGTTCAGGGTGGAGACATCATAACTCACTCATGCATGCTTGCTCATATTCAATCACATCTAAGGAATATATGAATATGATTTTCACTGTCTGATATCTTATGCTCCTCAGGCATATTTGTCCATATTGTACCTGAAAATACCAGAAACTTTCACAATTGTGCTGCGGGGGCAATTGGTGGAGCATCGTAATCTCGTCCTTGATCTCAAATTTCAAGAATTCATCGTGTACAGGCCTCAAACTGGTGGATGTAAAGAGGTATTACTTGCAAACTTTCTCCTTGTTCAGTTACTCTCTGCATTGCATTAAAAAAAATATTGAGTGATTGAATGTCTCATTTCTCAAGTTGCATCTAGTTTTAACTACCAGACCATATTAACAATGTTCTCTCAACACTTTTTGTTGTTTCTGTTATAACAATGAGTCAACTGCTGGAGGTTCAAGTATCATATTGGTGGGTAGTGCCACCCTTGCTCTCTCTTCTAGTGGGAGATGGGATCTCAGAGAACCATGTGTGCGTGTGCGTGTGTGATTCTATTGTGCCTTAGTGTGTGCTGCTAAGATTCATGACAAATATATTATTCCTGCACATCTCTCGACATTTTTTTTCATATCTTACTGCCCATCATTGTCCAAGTTTTCCAGTGTCAATATGATACTCATTTGTAAAAGTAGTTCGTGTCTTGCTGCCTTTCTTTGTCTAAGTTTAGCATGTTAATCTAATTCTTATTTTGTAAAATGCACATTATTCTGATTTTCAGTGATTCTAATTCCTGTTCCTACCTGGTTTAATTTTGCAGGCTGAAGTCTTAACTACAATTGGGTTTTTAAAAGAAGCTCCACATGTCACTGCCCATGGTTTCAATATCTACCACAAGAACCGTCTTATTCTGGCAAGTGTCTTTTAACTAGGAGGTTTTACCTTTGCATTGGCAGATATGAAAACAAAACATTGGCCCATTGGAATTATGCATTCTTCCTTGGTTTTGGCCCTTAAGTCCATTGTGTGGTATTTATAAATGCTGTTATGAAGTACAACCATTTTATGACTGAAAAAAACACAAATTCAAATTCTCTAGAAAACTATTTTATTTAATAACCATTGCATCATAACATAACTTGAGTGCTATTTATAGGCCCCAAAGCAGATAGAAATAGAAAAACTAAACAATTGGAAAATTTACTAAGTAAGAAATATAGCTAGGTTACTTATAAGCCAGCTTTAAATAATAATATAAATTTGGAAGGAACTAGTCATCACATTGAGATAAAGGAGTTAAAACAATGGACTTTGTACAGGAAAAACTAGAAGAGTGGCACATTGAAGGTTCCATCATTGTAAAGTTTAAACAAGATTTCAATCACATTGACTTTATCATTCTTTCCAAACTTAATATTGTCATCATTACTGCCATTGTTGAAGAAAAGTGATAGGTATCAGAAGCAAAATTGTTATGTTAATTGTTGATGTAATAGAAGTTCATGGAGCTTTTGCTACTTCGTTACTCTGAAATCCAAGGTCTAGAACCAGGAAAGAGTAAGGGTAAGGAAGGACTACTTTGGAAATTAATTTTCAAGTATTCTAAACTTTTAGTAGTTTGTAGGAATTTCGCTACTATTTAATAATTGTTAAGTGGATTTAATAAGGAATCTAGTTATGGAGAATTGGATATTCTAAGAAATTGAAATCAGTTGAATTGTGTCATGCTCTGCATTTTTGTACAAAATCAGAATAGTTATTGCAACACCTAAAGATGATGGGAAACAGATTGCTCATGGAATTACAAAATTTTACCTAAGCAGACTAATTATTGTAACATCAAAAGATAATGAGAAATGAGAAGTGGATGTGAGATCATATCAAATTATGAAAGGACTCTTCTTGATAGATATGTTTAGGATAGCTGGCAAAGCCATTTAAGCATGGGGACAAAACCACAGAATCTTACTTGTTGACTTCCTTCTATGCATCTCCAAAAATAAACCACCTTATTTCCATAGAATGTTTATAATGTAAAAGGTTTAGTGGTAGCTTTATGTTGCTCAGTTTTGTTCTGAAGAAAATGATGGCAAACTTCTGAGAGGTCTCTTCTTTCTCTTGCAATGCAGCCATTTTGGCCTGTTGTGAGCTATGCAGACAGTAGGGGAAGAGGGGTGGTTGGTGAGAAGCTTCTAGAAAATCTTTTCTAGTTTTTTGCCCTTTTCCTATGGTGTTCAGGTGAATTTTGTTCAGAATTGTAATTAATGCTTGACACTAATCTAGTATTACTTCCATAGGTGTTCTGGAAGCAAATTTTGTTGAGCCCACTCATAACAAACAAGATTTTGAGAGAACTTCCCTGTTTCAGAAGCTTGAAGGTCGATTGAAGGAGATGACATGGGAGTACTGGTACACTTCTCAATTTCTACTCAAAAAGAATTCTTTGTTTTGAATAATTTGGAACTTTTCGTCATGTTGCTCTCTATTTTGAGTAAAGAATCCTTTATTTTGAGTAATTTGGAAGTTTTTGTCCTCTTCACTTGTTTTTTCTAATTCTATTTCGCAACTTCCAAAAATTGCCTGGCCTATGTGTCCACACACTGTCTATGGATGTTCAAAGTTACTAAAAAGATTATCGCACAATCTCAAGCTTCCATTTTCTTTTTCCCTTTTTTCTAAATTGATTTCATGATTTGTTGTTAAATGGATTTGCATGGGATCTGTGAACCTAATTGATGAATTGAAATGATTCCTTGTGGTGAAAAATGCCCCTTATTTGCTTTGGATCTGTGCATCTAATTGATTAATTGAAATGACTCTTTGTGGTGACAAATGCCCCTTACAGTGAGCATCTAATATATGTTCTTATATACGATGACTTAAGTCATGCTGGTTATTGACTTTTGTCAGGGATTACCACTGCGGACTGATTGGTTACCAGGTCAAGAAAAAGCTTCCACCAATAGAGCCTCCACAAGATTCACCCCTTGGCATGCCAAATAGTGGTAAAATGAAGCATGTCACATTGAATCATGGTATGCCAAATGGTGGCATAACAAAACCTGTCACATTGAATCAAAATCACCATTCTGTTAGTGTGGAAGCAGCATCTGCTGCAGGTACACCCTTTCAGTATGAAAAAGTTGTGCTTGAATAATACTAGATAATTATCTTTTATTCCCATGTGCTTGATTAAAATAAATTTTTTCGTATCTCTGAGCTTTCTTTGGAAAAATTCCTATTTTGGGACAGGACTATCATCAAAGAGGAAGGAGCATGGTGATTTAAACAAATTTGAAAGAATGAAACGGCAGGCAGGGACAAGGGCAGATGCTCACAATTTGGAAATACAGGTATGAGTAAGGAGCATGGATCTGAATATCTTATTGAATTGAAGCAGTGCATGCAGATTACCCAATTCCCTTGAAAGCCTTGACCTTAATTCATCTCCCACAAATTTTACTTGGTCGATGCTTCTGCTATCACAACTATATGTGTCTGGGCCTAAATCTGTCTCTTCCATGCTTCTTACTTCTGATGTTGAATTCATTGCCTATGGTGAAAGTAGGAGAACAATAGTTAGTATGGTACCCTAACCAGAAATTTCTAGTATAGTAGCATTCAAGACAGAGAGATGTGATTCTCAGGTTGCTTTTCTGCAAAAACTCTAATTTGATATAATTTAACATGCACGCATAAAAGACAAGCTTCTTTACTGTGGGATTATTTTCATTACGTAGCTTGCTTTTGCTCTCTATTTCTTGGCCAAAATGGGTGTTCTCTGCTTTTTGCAATTCATTTTCTTGTTCTGATCTATTCATTTGTTTGCTTCCTGTCATGTTTTTTCTAAGAAATCTGTTGCTAATTTGGCCTGCAATCTTTTTTAGTCTTTGAGTTCTGCCAATCAGTTGATGGATAAGGAGACTATGAACTTGATTCAAGAAAACAAGAAACTTCATGCAAAGTAAGTATTATCATAACATTTCCGGTACATCAGTTTTTGTTCAATGTATAGGTTAGTTAATCCTGTGAGTAATTGGTGATGCAGAATAGGATGAAGGATTGTTATTTATATTTATTGATTTATAATTAATTATTTTTATAGAGTTTTACTATTATCTTTGAAGTTTTATAGGATTTATATTTATGGAAGACTATTACTAGGGTTGCTTGGTGTCCATACAAGCACCATATTCTATCAATTATGATGAAATCATATTGAAATTGAGAAGTATTTTCTTTAAATACTCGTCCAACCCTCTGTTATAGGGTTTTCTAGCCAATTCTTAGCCTTTTCTACAGGGTTTTCTTTTATATCCCTCAGCTCCCTTCCAGAGGAGCTCTCTTTCTGTAGGTTTTGTCCTCCCTCAATCAACTTATTCCTCTAGGATAGGGAGTTCTACAACCCTTTATCTTCTTTCTTCCCCCTGTTCTATATCAATTGGATTCTGTTTAGTGATCTTTTGTGATTAGAGATAGCTAGTGTCGTGAAGTTAAAGATTAGACTGGCACTTGATGAACAGCATCAAAATGCAGTTCAGGATAATTCTGTATTGACTGACTGTAAACATTTGGCCCTAATTGGAGGAACTTGCATTGTTTCAAGCTTGGCATCCGTGAAAATTTACTCCTGTTTATTTTATTTTCCAGATGCTTGGAACATGAGAAAAGGAGGGAAGACCTTGATCTGAAGGTATTTTATACGCCACAGTTAATAATTTCATGCATATTTATGTTTTCCTTTTTCAAATTTAATAAGCATCTTTACCACGCTTGAAAGTGTATAGCAGTCCATTGGGGATGTTACACACATAACTATTCATCTCAGTATATATGTATGTATGCTGCCTCTGTATTAATCAGTGGAATGGTATAATCATGGACTTTTGTGTTTTTAATTCCATCATTCTAGAAAGGCTTTATTTTTTTTTTTTAAAAAAATAACTACAATAGGGGATTTGAGTTCAATACACTAGAAAATGATCTTATTTTGAAGTGGTGGAATTCTGCCAATTCTAGAAACCCTGAACTCTTGCCATTAAGTGCGACCAAGTTTGGCATCCAAACAGATGCAAATAATGACAAAATCACACTTGAGGACAAGCTCTCTTGCATTCGAAATGACGAGTTAAGTTTCAATGACTAATCAAGTATCAAGCTGATGATGATCATATTTGTGCAGGTGAGGCAGCTAAGAAGGGAACTAGGAGATGTTCAACAGGAGTATGATCGGCTTATGGTTGAATTAACATCATTAGACACGGTTGAGGAAGAACATGTACGTACGTAGATTTTTTTTGGGTAGCTGGCTTGCTATTTTCAACCCTCTTATCGTAGAACACCTTTGTTGTTGTATCATATTCTGGGAAAGAGGGAGGGAGCTCAGTGTATCGGATTCTCAGCTTGTTTAGTGTGGACATGAACATGCATGATGCTAATTGAGAATCAACAACACTGATGCATTGATGGGAATCGACTTATGCTTTAGTACGAGTCGATTATCTATGTTTACACGCCAGCCATGGACCTGCAATATATTACTTGGAAAAATTATTATCTAAGCACGCCAGCCGTCGATTATCTATGCATTAGAAATTAATCCCTTTTTTTAATTTAAGATGATTATTTGTAAAAATTTCAGTGATTTAAACTCAGAACTAATATATTAGTTGGACAATGGAAAGTTCTAAAAAACAAATGTTCTTAGTGATTACATCTCTGAAGATTAAAAAAGTGAAAATCGGGTGTCTGCAATTAATACTAACCTACAGCACAATGAATTGAGACTCTTGTGGTCTTTTATTGATTATGTAAATATTGTGTCTTAGCTTAAGTGGTTTAGCACGTGTATAGAGGTCACAGGTTCAATAGTTGAAAATGACAATATATTTTTTAAGGAACTAGAAGACAATTCTTTTTCAAAAAACATGGAAGACATGGTCCTTCTTTTAATTAAAAAAACTATAAAACAATTAGGCTCTTGCATGCCTAGTTTGCTATTGGTGGGCCAGACGCTAACTCTTGAATTTTCATGTGTTGTTTTTACATCCGACCAGTTTAATGTTTAGGTTTTAATAAGATCATTAAATTTTAATCAGGTTATTTAAATTAACTTTTTTAAAAAAAATTAAAACAATATTATTTTAATTTAAAAAAATTAATAGGTTATACTAGGATTTTGAATTGGTTTTGTTAGGTCAACCAGGTCACTAGATCATATCAGGTTTTTTTTTTTGTTTTTTTTGCAACTTGATCAAGTTTCAGTCTCGAGTCAACTTATCAGGCCAGATCAAGTTTTAAAACTATAATTTTAATTGTATTTTTACACTCTAAGGAGAATTTGATTATATTCATGTACTTGTATACTTTTTAGTTTGAATATAGTTTTTCAATATTATTATAAATTTTAAGTTTAATTTTAATAATTTGCTTCTCGTTATTATGTAATTATATAAAAATAATAATACTAACATTAAATTATTCATGAAAATTCAAATCAAATTATTTTTTATTCTTAAAAATTTTAAATAGATTTTAAACATGATTTAATTATATTTATGATTTTTTTTCTTTTAATCACACATAAAATATGAACATACTAGTTTGATATTTTTTTATCAACTTGCTTTAACAATTATAAAATATATTTTATTCACAAAAACAATTATTTCAATTAAAAAATTTGTATTCACTAAATTAATAAAAAAAAATTATCTTGATAAACAACAAATTTTAAAACAACTGTATTTTTTAATTAGTTTAATAATAATGCTAAAGAATTCCATGAAACATGAATTGCTTTTTTTTATGTCTAGAAAAATTGTGTTCTTCCTACAATGTAGCTTGAACATGCAAACTAGGGATTTATATTATGGTTGTTAAATTACGTCCCGTTTCATGTGGTCTTGGGTCAACAATTACAAGGAGTTGTACATGCGTTAAAATTGAATCATATAGCTTAGATATCATATGGTTCATTAGTGTAGTTTATTTTTAGAAAAATAATATTATTAAATCTAGTTAGTTTATAAATCAAGTCGCTAATTTTAAAAGTTAGTTAGAATTGACTTTAATCAATTAATTCAAAAAAATAAAATTTAACTTTATATATATAAAGGTTTTTTTTTTTATTAAAGGGTGTCATCTTAATTCAAAAAATTAAACTTAATAAAAAAATCATTTAATTTTTTAATATATAAATAAGAACTTTTAAAGTTTGATAAAACTTACAAAAACTTATCATTATTTTATTTTTAATTTTATTAATTTATCTGATTAAAATAAAAGCCAGTGATTTATTTTTTTTGTTATAAAGCTATGATGTTATATAAAATAATTATTTTAATTTAAGACTTTAAATTATTAAATAAATTTATAAAATTAGTTTTTAATTGAATCGCGGTAGGAGCATACTAGCCGGCTGTGAGTCTAGAAACTCCCCCACTTGTTATTTGCAAGTTACACTATAAGAGATAAGCAGAACGACAACTTGCATGGAAATTAATATTGGTTTAATATCTGGGCAACTGCCCCAATACCTACCTTCTAGATTTGAATATGCCCGCTGCCCAGAAACCCTAGAATAACTTGGACCCCTGCATAAAACCTTGCCAAACCCCTCTCCTCTGCGTAGCCTCTTCTTTTATTCCCCCTCGCCACCCTTTCTCTCTCTCTCTCTCTCCCTCCCTCCCTCCTTCCTTCCTTCCAAGCTTTAGTCATGTTGGTTTTCTTTTATACATGGGAAGGTTATCCACCTACCTGCGTGTGGGTATCTTTTTTTTTTTTTTCTTTTGAAGGGCCATGCATGATATTGACATTTGAGGGAGAATAATTTTAAGCATGTTTTTTTCTCTGTTTTTTCTCTTGATTTTGTGAAATGAGGTTCAAATCCAAAATATGTGCAAAGAACTTCCATCCGCATGCGACTCATTGTGGGCAAAGCGGCCATGTCTTGCACAAATTGAGTGAAAAGATATTACCTATATATCTATATATGGGTATTCTTGCAGTTTCTAAGAGGTCTTGTATTGCAAGGTATACATAAACCTTACAGATTAGCATACAATTTGTGAGCCAAATTATTTTCAAGAATCCTCTATTGTCGTGAGCTTCTGATAATGTACCTTCTCATTGTGTATAGCTTGCTCATTTTGTTGGATCTTAGGCTACTAAATTGGAATAATTCAATCGTTATATTCAAGTAAAGAAATTACTGTTTGATTTCCGAGAAGCCATCAAATTAATGCATATGACAAAACAATTTTCAAGAAAAAAACTAGTTTGTCCTTTTAAAACGCTGAAAAAACAAAACTGATATGATTAAAATCATTCCTCCAATTCATTCTTATGCAACTTTACCTCCATTTTACAGCTTTGCTCCTTGAGTCTTGCCAGGCCGAATGCTGTGAAAATCTATGATTTCTCATCTATTTTTTTCACAAATTTTCAAAATCAGGATTCTTAGAGCGTGTAGATTTTAAATCCAAGCGCTAGAATACACATCATGAAACTTATTGGCTGATGAATCTAATATGATCTTATTCTTATTTATTCTTACTTTTATTATGATTTTTTAATTACATATTGTTAAGGCTTTTGTGATACATGTAATCTCTATATATGTGATATATTGTAATACAAAAGGCATCAATAAAGCAAAAAATGTTCTTGTTATTTCTTTTCTTTTTTATGGTATCAAAGCAGATTCATATTTACATATCTCATATTTTCTTTGTTTAAATGGCTTCCTTTGGTTTGAAGGATATATGAAAAGTTCTATTATCCCTTCATCTTTAAATCTTTTTTATTTTAATTTAAATCATTCATCTTTAAATCTTCTTGATTTTAATTCAAATCAAAGTCTATATTTATCTTCGATTAAGTATTTCAATTATCTTCTTTGATTAAGGGTTAGGTCTTTAGCAATTGGTGAAAGGTCAATAATCAAATTTATTAACCAAAATAATGCTTCTATTGATGACAAATCTCCCTAGTACAAATCATGGTTTGCTAACAATCAAATGGAGAAGAAAAGTACATGTAAATGTAAATGAAAAGTACATGGAATGAATTGGTAATTTATTGACCTTACACCATAGAAGTTGCAACCTTATTGAAATGAGTTGAAGAAGATAAAGTCTTTCAACTTTAGGTCAATTTATCCCCCGGCTATAAAAAATTTTGTAGCTATATACTCATGAACTCTAAATTATCATATTTTACAAATATTTGTGTGACTATTTAATGGGAGGACATTCAGAAAAAAATCATGAACTTGAACTTCAAATCAAATTTATTTAAAGCTTGAGTGACACGACTAAAAGATTGATGTCTTCTCCCAAGTGCAGGACTGTCGAAGTAATGAATAACTCGGCAAGACCGGGATCGAACCACAGGAAAGTTAATTATATAAATTATATATAACAATAAAACAACAACAATAATAGTAATAGTAGTGGTGGTGGTGGTGGTAATAGTAGTAGTAGTGGTGGTGGTGGTAGTAGTGGTGGTGGTGGTAGTAGTAGTAGTAGTAATAATAATAATAATAATAATAAAGAAATTCATGAGAACTTTGAGATGGAAGATTAATGTAAGGATTAGACAATGATAACAACAAATGTCAATGTTATAGAGGATCAACTAATGGTATGTCAAACAAGTATAGTATAAACTCTTATTATTCAATTGGAAACTACACACAAAGGAGGTTCCAATCAGATTATAAATTGTTAACATGATTATATTAATTATCTTATTCGATTAATACTAATACTTGTAAATTTTATCAGGCATTCATGATTATAACTTATATTAACAATAAATCAAGTTTCTTTCATATCTTAGGTGTATGTTGTACCATACAGTATGGGCTATGAAAGTACCAAGCATTTTTTGTATCAAGTGTTATACAATATAAATCTAGATTAGTTATTTAATAAGTAAAGTATTAAAGAGTGAACAAGATAACAAATACAAAACATGTTAGTATCAAACATTAAAAGTCCATATTGAGTTTACATTATACTTATTTTTATACCATTAGTGTAACCTTTTCACCTTGATATAATAAAATTAGCTAAATATAATAAAAGAAAGAAAAATAAATAAACAAAATAAGAACATAAATAAGATAAAAGTTAACTAAGTAAAGAAAATGAAATGAAAGCAAAACATAAGTAATACAAAAAATACAAAGAGAGAAAGCAAGAGCATAATCTTGATCTGGAAACCAAGATGCCTAAATGCATGGCAAATGCCTCCTTTTATAGGCTAAAATTAGAAATTATTGATTTGATGACTAATTGATGAGTGAGTGACCAACTCTTGACTTATTGACAATCATTATCTTCTCTTATCTGCCTAAAACGTCATTGATAATGTCAGAACTGGAACCACTTGAAAACATGGAAGTTGTAGGAACTTGCCTCAGCTTTCTAGAAAAAAAAATGGAGATCATTTGGACTTCTATAGCTCTAGATATGGGTCAAACACTAAACAGTGCGCGGGCTGTAGTACAGATTTGGACATCTTTGTTGTTGCTGTAA